CCCCTCCCTCCCCACCCCCCTCTCTCATCCCCGCCCCGCAACACCCCACGCCCATACTTCTCTGCTCTACACCCTTCGCCGCGTCTATTACCTTCTAAAAACAAACACAATCCTACTTCTTCATTGACCAGAAATGTGTCTTTAAAAAAAAAAAAAGTTATTTATGTATTCAAAAGCAGAGCTAGAGAGAGAGAGAGATTGATTGATCTTCCATCCACTGGTTCCCCCCAAAATGGCCATAACAGCCAGCGCTAAGCCAAGCCAAAGCTAGGAACCTGGAACTCCCTCTGGGTCTCCCACATGGGTGTAGGGGCCCAAGCACCAGGCCATCTTCTGCTGCATTCCCAGGCGCACTATACCAGGGAGCTGGAGCGGAATGGGATGCAGAGGTTGTGGGCAGCAGTTTAAACCAGTCCACCACAACCAAGAAAGGTGTCTTCGTTTAAGGCCAGTGAGGCTGCGTCTTACTGCAGTCACGCAAAATCTCAGTGAGACTTTTGTGCACTTCATGATTCAGTTTTGCCATTCCCTAAGCAAATCAGCTCTAGACAGAAGGTGCAGACCTCAGTGCTTCCATAACATGTTTTGTTTAACCATAGTTTGCAAATTGCGAGTGCTGTTTTTATTGAATGAGAAGAAGAAGGGGAGGTGGGGAGAGGCTAGGTGCTTTGAGGCAGTCTCAGTGGCTCTTAAAAGCCTCTTCGGAGCCATTGCCGTGAGCTAGGCATGTGCTGTGCAGCCTCGAGTAACTTTCAAAGCCTGTTCATTCCTCTGAAAAGCCACAGCCATTGCTGTCCATCATACTGAGTCATCTTTGACATTAAAAAAAGAAAACACGAATGGTCTACTGTGTTAACATATTTTTGAAATCATTAAAATTTCAAATTTACTTTAAATATTTAAATATTAAATACTTAAAATGTAAATATTTAATTTAAATAACTATTTACTTTAAAATAAATAGTTAATGACATAGCCTAAGACACGAGAGTGTATACTTACATCTTATGTATATTTTGGTATTCCTGAGTATAGCATTTGGGAGCTTAACTCAGGAACAGTTGGAATAGCCATAAAAATTTGAGAAAAAGGATCTTGAGTTGGACTGTTAATACCAGTTCTTTTCTAAAGTTCTCGATAAATTTCCTCCGTTTAGCAGGGTTTAAAGCGTGCTGGCATCTGGTATGTGCTCAGGTAGGTGTGCAAGAGTGAAAAATGCCTTATGCTCTCCACTACTTTCTGTACCTTCTCACCAGATGCCATGGGAAGATTTCATCTCTTCCTGGTGGTGGTGGTTTCTCAGGGAACCCCAAGCTGGGGCTCTGAAGTCAATGAGAGCCAATGCTCTTGTAACAGATGTGAATTGCCTTTGGAGAGGCGATGAGTGAGGAGCAAAGGCAGAAAAACTCAAAGGCGACCAGGGTCTGCCCCCTCACACCTGCTGTAATTACCAGTGCTCAACCACCTTGCACGCAGGCGTTCACTTCTGTGAAGGCGAGTGCCCTGTAAGCAGGGTCTTATCGTGTTACCAGCACAGTTTGGCTTTGGGGGGACCCCGTATGAAAGCTGTTTCCATGAGCTCCCCTCCTATCTTTTCTGCCCCTCCTCCGCCAGCTCTCCACTCTGCATGTGCTGAAAGGGGGATGAGCTGGGCAGCTGGGCTCTCCTTACTGTGCCACCCTTGGCATTAGGCTCTGTGATCTTGTCTTTGCACTGGGGATGACCCTTCTGCCGCGTAACAGTCTAATGAGGTGAAGTATAACCGACTCTCTTTGTTTGCATTGGTTGTGTTCGCTGTGGTCACTGGGAAGGCTGAATTAGCACACACTGAACCCAGGGGCTGCGTAGGTGCCCATGGGCCTGTGGCCGCAACAGGCTTGGCAGCGGTCATCACCTCGCCTCGCCTTGTCTATTTGCGTCTCTGTGTTGAAGACAAATAGCAGAATCTTACATAATGAGAATCTGTGATGTAAGAACGTACCTGCAAGCACGGTAGAAACCTCAAAATAGTTTGTAGACTGGAAGTCATTTCGGATGACCTTGAACTCAGATAGGATGACCTTGCATGTAGTTGATATTTGCAAGTTCAACTTAATAAAATAATAAGTATGTTGTTTGAAAGCGACCGGAAGTTCTTAACCGAGGAAAGCGACAGAGAAAACTGCTTTTTCCAGTTCTTGGACTCTGCGTATTTAATGCACAGTAGCAAGGGGACCATTGTAACTCCAGGCTTTGCATTTAGTGGTTAACACTGCCTTGTGACCTGATGACTGGGGAGAAAAACCGCTCCCTGTGTATTACCAAAATATTATGTTTCCAAATGCATGAAAATCATATGGAAACATTTTGATGTTAACAAGTGGCATAAATGCTGCTCTTGGCCTCTTGGTACCATTTTATGACATTGGGAAGCTGGTTTTGGTTAACTCCTTCATGTTGGGAATTGGAACTTTCCTGCCTAATAACTTCTGCAAGATACCACTCTGCAATATTACTGTGCCACGCTGTTGACAGAAGAACAAATGGAAAACACACACACACCTAAGAAACATCCTTGTAGAACAAAGCAGCAACACGTAGGCCTTACCATAGAAGTTATTTTCTTGTTTTAGGAAAAAAATATTAGAGTTTAAAATATTCTTATGAGTAAATTTAGCTTATGAGTGCGTTACTTGAAATAGCCAGGTTTCCATTGCTTAAAAATCTGGCTGACAACTGGATAACTCCCTGGGCCGTGTATCAGTGTAGCGTGGCCATTCGGCAGCAGAGTCTCTCAGAAATTCCAATTAGCCATGTAAATATATTTCATAGCATCACATCGCACTTGGTCGGAACCCCCGCCGCCTTGATATCATTAACATAAATGCAGGTGCAAATAGCATTTATGTGCTTTGATAGAAGGCAGTTGGAGACATTTCACTGTGGGACACAAGACGTTCAGATTGCGTACATCTGTTCAAATAATGTCTCGAGCCCCAGCGACACGAACACAGGGTGCAAACATCTGCCCCCGAGACCATTTGCCATAGAGCAGATGCTTGCATCTCTATTTATGCAGATGGCTGGTGTGATGAGTTGAGCAGGGATCAAGGCCAGGTAGTTTGACGGAGGTATTTACGATGCTATGCAAGCCAAAAATATAGGCCAGGCATTTTTGATTTGTAAGAGTCTGTTATTAACAGACGTAGAAACTCGTGAATCCAGTAACGCTTTTAATAGAGTAAACATACTGTTCTTATCTTTAAATTAGTGGGCATCAGAATCCTAAAAACATTTGTATTTACAGCCCTAGAATCCAACTTACATTAGAGAAAGCCACCTATGGTTGTTCTCCTTTCGTTAAAGTAACTTAAACTATTTTGAATGCTTGTTTTTAAAACAGTGCCCTGTGTTTGCTAAGAATTCTGTACCACCAAGGGAATTTGAACTGATATTTCTCAGAACCAGGAAGGAAATAGGAAATATAAATGTCAACTTGATTATAATTTGTAAGGTATTTCATGAATGTAAATTCAGATAAGTCTCTTGAAGCATTACATATTTATAAGATTTTTTCAATCATTTTTAAGATTTATTTATTTATTTGGAAAGAGTTTCAGAGAGAGAAGGAAAGACAGAGAGAGAAAGAGGTCTTCCATCCTCTGGTTCACTCCCCCAGCGGACACAAAGGCCAGGGCCGGGCCAGGCCGAAGCCAGAAACCGGCAGTTTCATCCGGGTCTCCCACATGGGTGCAGGGGCCCAAGTACTTGAGTCATTTTTCGCTGCTTTCCCAAGCCATTGGCAGGGAGATGGATCAGAAGTGGAGCAGCCAGGACACGAACCAGCGCCCATATGGGATGCCGGCGTTGCAGGCAGCGGCTTTACCTGTCACTCCACAATGCCAACCTTTTATTCTGATATTGCCTACTAGTGATA